AAAAAAAAAACTGCAGCCGCGCGCGCGCTCGGGTGCAGCCCGCGTGAGCCCCGTCCCCGCCCGGCTTTCCCACGCCGGCTGAATGTGCCCTGACCCCCTTCAGAGAGGTTTGACACGGAGCGAGGACATTTCCGCATTCCTCCCCGACTACAAAGGCCCCCGCCGCCCCCTCCCTGCTCCGGCCCGGCCCTCCTCGGTGCGCCGCCATTCACAGTGCCCTCCGCGGGTTTTGTCTGCCGTGTCAAAACCGGGTGCACCGCAGGGGGGGGGGGGGGGGGGGGGGGGGGGGAGGGGAGAGAGGGGGGAGATTTCATTGGATGGAGCTATCCTCCTTCAAAGCCTCCAGGAGCTCCTGGTGCAAGAATAGGCTACACACAGGCCAGGGGGGGGGTTCGGTCAGACAATCTGGGCCTAGAGAGGGTCCAGAGAGGTCCCGAGAGGTCAGGTTCAAGGCCCCTTTGGCTTGACCAGGGGTAAAAGGGGGGGACTCCTCTGCTGGGCCGGTTGGGCCCTGTGCTCCACCACAGCCTCAGCTGGCTAATGTAAATATGAGATGTCCAGAGCAGAAATTTGACATTATGGGGTCCGTTTGGATTTCAAATATAGGTCGATGCTGGACATTTAGTGCAGAGAAAACCCAGGAAGATGGCCTTAAATGTGGTGCACTCAGTATGTCTCCTTATATTTATTTATGATGACAGATTAGCTCAAGTTTGCTCTTCATGTTAAGTATATGTACGCAATTTATTTTGTGTGTCCGTTTTAAAGAACTGTTACCTGCCCTGGTCATGAAAATTATTTAAAAAAATGTTTTCACTGTGTTGTTCAAAGAAAAATGTTACAGAAATGCTAGTAATGATAAAAAATTATATAAAAAATTCAATGAAACCTTAAACTAAAATGATTTTATTTTCTAAATTGAAAAAATATATATTTAAAATGTATTTTTTTATTTAAAGCCTATTTGGATTAAAGTATTTTGAGCTTTATCTTTTCTCATATTAAAAACTTTTCTACAAACTTCTGACCAAATTTCCATTGCCCCTTTTTGTGTTGCTGGTTTCGAATTGACGAGAGTTGACGTCAGACTAGACAATGAATAACCAATTACGGTTGTGTACCCTGGTCCCTTTGTTGTGGCCTCGTTGGAAAGGCGAGATGCACAAATCACATGGAGGTCATTCCTCCAATGCAAAGGCCTCCATCCGTGCTGAATCCATTCCTCTGCTTTGGGAATGTAAAGCTCAGATAATGACATGGAAGTATCTGTGGCAATTTCCCCAGCCCCACGTTGTGGGCAGCCCCAAACTTAAAAACATTTACATCACAAAAGGAGCAAAGCCGACACTGGGTCCCAGACCAATTACTGTAAACGGGGGGGGCATTTACATTTTTTTCATCATCATTGTTCACGTGAAATCAGCTCTGAGAGCCGTCACTCAGACTGAATACATTAGCAAACATACCTCTGATGTAGCAAGACGACAAACCGACGAGGTTAGAGATGAGAGATGCTCACCTCGAACATTCATGCGCACACATAACGAAAGAGAGAGTGTGACCATTCTGTGTAATCTCTTTCTGCAGTTATAAGTTACTAAGTAACCGATTAGACTCATATTTACCTTGATGGGACTCACACAGGGGAAACATTTCAGAAAATAGCCCAGAGAGGAGCGGGTTGTTTTTCTGTAGTCTGCAGTAAGAACACCCTGCTCTTGTTGCAGCTCATTACCGCGAACAATTGATAGATTTCCTACACATTAAGTAGCTTTTTTGAGTGTTTAGATTAACTATAAACCCCACTTCCTTAAAGTGGAAAATATTCAGAAACCTCTGAAATAGTGGAGTTATCCTTTAGTTTTTTTATATTATTCTATTACCTTATTTTGTTACTTTGCACAGAGGCAGCTACCATGAAGAAGACGAGCACAGAAACCAGTCCATTTAGCACTTCTTTTAATTAATAAAACAGAAGTGAAATTCGTTAATAAAAGCCAACACTTCTTTGGGGTGAGTAAATTCAAACATCAGACTGCAGGGATTCTGCTTTAATTTTAGAATTGTTTGCTTGATCAACTATCAAGCTAATGCTCTTCCTAGAAACTTCCTGACTTTTGAAAATGTCAGATTTGAAATGGGCAAAATTAAAAGTGAACGTTCACTTTGCCAACACTGCCAAGAGCTTCAAAATAATAATAATGAAAATGAAAAGCTAAATGAAGTATGCTAAGCCCTGAGGGAGATGTTGCTTTTCAGTAAGGGATCATAAGATGGAGAAGCAGAACCTCTTCAGAGGAACAGTGACAGTGACACCCTGCCTGTTTTCTAGGTGTGTTTTTCCTGAGAATTTGTCACGAGTTCAAAGTATGTCTGGGATGCCGTCCAAAGCACACTCCCTAAAATAACACTAAACTAAAGCAATGTATCTCTTTGAAAGTCGGTATAATTCATCACCAGGTTGGCAACATAAAAACAAAATAGTCAGAACTTTGTTGGGTCTGTCGTGTGACAGAACAGCAGAGATATTCATTTACAATTTGGTGAAAAAAGATGAGACATCAGATAAAAAGGAAATCATGCAATGCTTTCCAGTAAGTAACCGAAAATGGACGTGGGATATTTCATCCTCATATTTAGCGTTTGAAACAAACTGATATGTAACAAGATAAAAGCATTATATTTTAATTACAGAAGCAGTGGACTGGAAAACACTTCATCACAAAATAAAGTTATTTAAGCAACATGCTGTCTCACAACACACTTGGTCAGCTATAGATTTAAAATTATTCCACAGCCATTAAACTCCAAACAAAAACATAAAACTACCAGCCTTCACATTTAATACAAATATCAGAAATGCTTTTTTCTGCTCTGCTTTATATTTGCTTTATATTCAGGGACAACATAGATATCTGAAATGACTTCTGAAGCATTATTTTCTTTTATCTTTTATCTAAAAATAAAGCGGTTTAAAATAACTTTCATAATTTTTTTTACCCTACAGATTGTTACCAACAGGTTTGATAAATTATCTCATGATTGTAACTTTACCTGCAGAGATTACAGTTGTAAAATATTTACTGTCATCATAAAATACAGAAAAATGAACTCAGACACCAACACAATTTTATGATAGTTTTGCCAAAAAGCTTAAGCAACTGAAACATTTCAGAAAAATTACACATTTCATCATTGATGTTTAATGATCGTCTTTACAGTGTTGAAACTATATGAGGACACATTTGAATAAATAAAGGATAGATTCCCTGGCTGGTGTCATTCACAGTTAGATATAAGAAAATGAAGAATATCTAAAGGAAGAAAAAAGGCAGAACTGTATCCTAAAAATTGAAAGACATTTCTGTCTTTACTTTAATTGTATCTGATAACACACCTCTGTTGTCACATTTCAGGTTTACAACAACAACAAAAAAGCTCAGACAGTGAAGATTTGACTACTTTGTAATCTTACCAATACAAAGCCGCATCGTGGGCTCCAGTGTCCATGTGTTCGGCCGGTCACTGCGGTCATTTGGGGTTGAACCCGTGATCAGAATGTCATACATGCTTTTTTTCAAAAGGGGCCTTCCGAGCCCCCTAAAAACGCACTTTTAATCTTTCATTCTGACTCTGAGGCGCGAAAGAGAGCACGTTCTACTAGTCAGTGCGTGGATGCGGGTTG